TACATACATAATAATACATACATAATAATACATACATAATAATACATACTAATACATACATAATAATACATGCTAATACATACATACTAATAAATACATACATACTAATACATACATACTAATACATGCTAACTAGCTTTTTTAGTGTGAATGTTTCCGTTCAGTGGCCTGAGACGACTTCTGTTGGAACTTGGCGCTAAATAAATAAACAGAATTAAATTGACCTGAACTGATTGTGTAATTGCCCGTGTCTGTTTGTGGGTGACTCTTTATTCTGTTAGCAAAATATATCATCAACTACTGAACAAAACTTTCAGACAATAATCACTGAATGTACACCTACAAGGAATTAAAGGAATATCCTGATGCATGCTCAATAATCCAGGTAGAAAAATCCAAAAAAGTTCAATCTGGTCCTCTGGACATTCAAAAAACTGAGGAAGTCTCTTGGATGAGAGAAGAAACGTTTCTATTTTTTATTTTTTTTGCTTTGTTTTGTTTTTTGTTTTTTTGAATGTCCAGAGGACCAGATTGAACTTTTTTGGAATTAAAGGAATAGTTTGTTAGTTTTATAGACGTATAGTTTAGAAGTAATATTCTGTCAAATATTTAACAACAGCTAGTTCCTTATCAGCCGTGACATCGATCGTATGCTCAAAATAAGACGAAGGGAAACAGTCTTTGTCCAGGCTACGCCAATGACTAGCCAAACAGCATTACCGTAGCAACAAGGACATCGTGCGGCTAGAAAAATGATGACATACTTAAACAATGATGGCATGTAAAAGTGTAGAGGTTTTATTTTAGCTAATTTAGCTTCTTTCCTCGCGTTTGAAATCTAAAAACAATTTAAAAGGCCGCTTGTTTATCTATTAGCCCAGCCTGGATGAAGCCTTTTACCCTCCGTTTCATACTCCATGCTCTCTGACAGAATTTTAAATGGCTGTAACTCTTGTCAATTTGACAGCTGATGAGCTAAAATCAATTTGGAAAGAAAGCGTCATCTCCAACTCACATTGTGAGGATTAACAGATGAATTGATGGATTATTTATTTTTTATGAGAAAATATGATTAACATGTTATTGATAACATAACATGTTATTATCAATCAACCTTTATTTATACAGGTAAATCCCATTGAGCCTCGAGGACTCATTTACAAGAGAGACCTGATTTCAACAAAGAAAGATGACAACAATGGACAACAGCAACAACAATAAGCAGTTATAAAAACTCATACTACAGTTTTTTTTTTTTTTTTAACAAATAGGATGGCTAAAAGGAAAAAGGTAACAAAACAAAAAACCAGCTAGATTTGTATTAACATGAACTATTGTTTTATGTTGGGGGTATTTCCAGCACATTAATCTAATCACTGTCTGTTAGAGGGTTTGATAAAAATCCAAGTGCTTCCAGTTGAGCAGTAATGTGTCGCGTTCTGCCATCAGGAGTGTTGAACCCAATTGCAGGAGGATGACAGGAGGCTCGTGGAAAATTAAAATATTTATTATACAAAAACAAAGCAAAGGATGACGGGGCAGCTTACTTCCTGATAACAGGACACAGGACGGAGGGCAGAAACACACACCATAAGGACAATCCGGAGACAAAGACAAGACACAAGGGAACTGAATATATAGACAACACTGATTGGGACAACGACAGACACCTGCTGTGATTAACATTAGACACAGGTGAGACAAGGACTAAACACAAGGAGGGAGGGCTGACTGGAAACATGAGGAAACAAACAAAGACAGGACAAAACCCAAAAACCAATATGTCCCCCGATAAAAAGACGTTTGAAACACAATGAGCCAAAGAGAACAAAAGGCCTCAACCTGTCAAATGGCAGGTGAAGAGATTTTCTCCATGTGCTTTTGGCATCATCAGAATAAATGATCTCACAAAACTAACAGAAAAACCCTGATTCAACGTTTGTTGTGTCGCCTTCATTTTATTCACGCACCAGATCTTCACATGCTTATTGACCATTTACATATCTCCAACTAAGATCAAAACAGCATGCCAGAGAGAGGCAAATGATGAGTTCACTTCCATCCTTTCACACCTCGATGGTGCGAAACTAAAGATAGCCTGCAAGACACGAGAAGGTCAAAACCACAATGAGAAGAATGCACATTAAAGAGTGCACTAATGCAATCCACAGAAGCCACACTGAGCGTATGAGACAAATATATACACAGGAAGTGCCTCCCACTCTCATGCCCCTGTGAGCTCTCTCTCTCTCTCTCTCTCTCTCTCTCTCTCTCTCTCTCTCTCTCTCTCTCTCTCTCTCTCTCTCTCTCTCTCTCTCTTTCTCTTTC